TAGAGAAAATATATTTCATTATATAAGCTTGCTTTTCAGTGCCTGGTGGAATAAAGTAAAACACAGTATTCCACTATAATGCAAAGAGGTGGCATGTTCTTTGGAGTACCTTTGTGGGAGTGGGAAGAGTAGCTTCCCCAAGGTTACTTCCCCAGGCTCAGAGAATTTTTTTTTTTTTAATTTTTATTTTTTGGCAGAGCCAAGGATCAAACTCAGGCCCTTGCGCTTGCCAGGGAAGTGCTTATTCCGCTGAGCCATCTCCCCGGCCCACAAGGCTCAGAATTAAGGGAGCATCTATGATCCCTGAGTGGTTCAGGGGCCACAGAACCCAGTGGTCACGTGCTGCATTGTGAGCCTGCTCCCCACAGGTCCTGCAGTGGCCTTGGGGAGCTGCTTTGTGGGCCAAGGACTGCATTGCTGGCTACAGTGCGGAGCCGTGGTTGCAGGGTCATGCCCTGTTCACCTGGTCAGTCCAAAAGCGCACCGTTAGGGTTCCACTCCTCTAACTGAAGAAGTATATTGATCTGTTGTAATGGAAATCACTGCATAATTCTGAGAAGATAGAACCTATGCCCCAGTTAGGGGGAAAAAAAGGACTACTGCACCCCACCAAGCACACCATTGGGGATGGTATTGGGGTTCGCCTAAGGCCTCAAGCAGGAGAGCTGTGGCTCCTGAATCTGAGCATCACCATCGGCTTGTGGTGGTGCTGTTACTGACTGGAAGTGACCAGGTGTGTGGCGTACAGAAGAGTCTTCTGTTCTGGTTCAGCTAGTATTTCCAGTTAGATGTTGTGGTTCTCCCTCTTGCTTTTGTCCCTCGTTGAGCATCAAGGCTCCAACGACCTCTCTTGCACTTGCATCTTGCAATTTGTAGCCTAGAGTATGGTACTTGGAATAGGAGATAACTTCAAATTAGTGAGGTTTTTGTTTGCTAAATAAAGCCATTCCATCCAAACAGTTCTGTGTAATTTTTGAAAAATAAATCAATATTTTGGTCACTGACAGTCAAAAGCCTTACAAGGCTATGACCCCTGAAATCAAATGCAAAATCATTCAGTTTTGTAGAGGACTAAAAGTAGGCTTTTATCAGATACCAATGCAGTTGATGGCCACAAGGAAGCTCACAGCCCCATGGAGTCCATGTGCGTGAAATCAGGGATGCTGCTTTACTGTAGTTTGCTAGTGTAAGGAGGAGGCTGTCATTTGGTCATACTGGTGCTGGCTTTCACAACTCAGCTTTGGGAAGGCAGACAGCTGGACAGACTTGAGACTGTCGAGGCATACGTGACCCAGAAAAGCATGCCCCTATCAGTAGGGGCCAACCTAGGAAGCCAGGAAGCATCAGGAAGAAAGCTCCCCTCCCACCCTTAGCTCCACAAGAAGAGCTGCACTTGGTTGGTTTAGAACTCAAGAATTTACCAGCTCTAAATTACTGCTGGGGCCTGTAGCATTGCTTGAAAGGTGCAGAGCAGGCAGCACCTTCCCTCTGCTTGCTGCACTCCCAGCTCCTCCACTTCCCAGCATACAAAGGGCCCACTGTTCATAACCTCTTCTGTAATGCTTAAGTTGCCCGTTAAAAGTATTGCCTTGCGGAGGTATAATCACAGTGGCTGCTTTTCCAGTAACTGCCAACTGTGTTCTATCTGCTGTAATTTCCCACTGGGAAATGAGCACTTAGCAAGCCCTCAGTGCAATCCTGTAACTTTGAAGTCACTTTATATTATTAAGACAATCGTCATTCAGAGCTCCCCATGCCACATGGTGCCCACTAGCTGTGCTGCCCCCGCTGTAAGTGGGCAGAAGGGCACTGTGGAACCACCTGCTCTTTCCACCCCACTCTATTGATGGACCAGGGATGAGAGACATCTGCCTACGTGAGCAGCCTCCTGGTGGTGGTAGTAAGGTCACGATCCCTTTCATCTGGTCATTGTGCTTATAGGCTTGAGGGCGGATGCCCTATAGTTCTGTTCATGAAGGTTCAGCATTGGTGGTCCCTCATGAAACTTGACTACTCTCTCTGAGCCCCTCCTGGATGACCCTGCTCTTAAGAGTGCACCACTATCACATGCTGCACTGGGGGGCCAGTAACTTCATCTTCCTGCCCTGTCTCAGGTGTGGGTGTTGTCAGGATCCGTCTTGTTTGCCTTTGGAGAGCTACTGAGGACAAAGCTGGTGGTCCTTTCCCTTAGGGCTATTCTTGGTTGCCATTCTGGCTTATGCTACATCCCTTGTCACCGGTCAGTACAAGTCCATGTGTCTTGACTTCCCTGCTTAGCTGTCAGTCACTCCTATACAAAGCTTCTGTTTTACTTTTAAGTTGCCCTCATAGTTTTTGCCTAAGGGAGTAAGTCTAGTTTTTTCCTCCACAGGAAATGGAGTGGAGGGCTATCTCCCCAGCACTGCACCTTTCCAAAAAACACTTCTGTTGGGTGGTGGCAGCACCCAACCAGCTGTGTACAGGTCCTTGCTCCCCAGATCTCCGCCCTTGGGATTTAGAAACACACCCTGCCCCTTATCCCTCCTCCCAGCTGGCTGTGTGCAGAGCTCAGAGGACCTGGCCAAGCAGCCTTCAGCTAGTGTGTGGGAGGATAGTTTCCATGTCAGGCATGCTCGGGGCTTTGTACCAGCAGCTTTTGTTCATGTTTTATCTAGAAAAGTACCTGAAGAAGTTGAGACCAGAACTGTTTTCTCCTTGGCATCAAGGACTGAGGTCCAGCCTTCTGTGGCCATCAGTAGCAGCAGCCCAAAGACACCAACAACCAACACTCAACTGCAGGTGCAACTGAGGGTGTAGACCTTGGCCAGAGGAGATTATTCTGCATCATCCAGGTGGGCTCAGACTAGCCCTGTGAGTCCTTTTTTTTTTTTTTTTCCACCTTTTCATTTTATGTATTTGGTACAGGGTCTCACTAGGCAGCTCGGACTCATAGTGATCCTCTTGTCTCACTGTCTTAGCCTCCCCAAGGTTGGGATTACAGGGGTGTCCCACCATGCCTGGACTCGGTCGCCAGCTCTGCATGCCCCAGGGATGGGTCTGGCACAGTACACCTGACTGGAATTGAACCCTTGTCCCTGCGCTTGCCAAAGCAGGTGCTTAATCCACTGAGCTGTCTCACCAGTCACCCCTATGAATCCTTAAAAGTGAAAAACTTGCTACAGAAAAACAGCCAAGGCAGTTGAAGAGGACAGACCTTTTGCTGGGTAGCAGGGGCCATGAGCTCAGGAAAGTGAGCCACCTAGGTAGACTGGAAAAGGCAAGGAAATAGATGCCCTCAGTGTTGTGACCCCAGGACCCCGATAGCTGCCCCCCGGCCAAATGCCTCTCCTGCAGCTATAGTCCCTGGCAGGGAACAAGAGAATAGGGTGGAGGATGGGGGCTCTCATCACTTGTCAATCGGAGGAAAAATCCTTCCTAGAAGCACTGTGGTAGCTTTGCCCTTACATTTTCTCACCCACAAGTGAGTGCTGAGGCCACCCCTAGCTAGGAAAAGCTGTTCAGTAGCCTGTCTGTCAGATCTGCCACGACTTCCTTGGTGAGAAATCAAGCCAGGAGAAGAGCCATGAGGCTCAAGACCCACAATCTGCTGAAGCCTCGCACACTTCAGAGTTCAGAAGGCATCATGTCTATGCTCTACGCATACTTTGGCTAAACGTGTTGCAGTGTTGCTTGTGTTCCTGTGTTTCAGTAACAGAGTAAGGTCATCACCGCCAGCACATCAGCTCCAGGAGACAGGGGCCTACCTGTACCTCATTCACCACTGTCTTTCATACCTCTAGGGCCTAACACACCCAGGTGCTCCATAAATTTTTTGTTGGATGACATAATTTTCAGCATCTTCTCCAAACATATCCTCAAGCTTTCCCTGCCTTCCAGCTACTGCAAATAACATGCTTTCCCCTACACAACACTACTCTTTCTGGCTGCCCTCTCTCTGCCCATGGTCTGAAAGCTTTTCTTGTTCCCTCTGGCATCCTGCTAAGTGGTTATCACCCCCAAGAGTCAGTTCCCATGCCTGCTCTCCAAGCCACGTGTGGTACTCGGGCTCTAACCGACGATCCTGGGTTGCCTTTTTCTGTTGTGGATTTGTTTGGTTTTGCTGATGCTCAGGGTGTGGACTCTGCCCAGGCCAACATGGTGTCCCAGTACACAGCACAGCAGCTACTTCTGAGCAGGCTCTGTGTACACGCTGCTGAGTGACACAGGCTGCAGAGCGGTCCCAGTGAGTTTCGGCATCCAATGGAGAACACCTCTCTATCTGATTGTAAAGTAGTATATCCTGGGCCTGCAGAACTAGATGCTGCTTTATCAGACTTCTAGCATTATCAATCTTTCTGTGCCTGTGTTTCATCATCTGTTCAATGAAACCATGCATGGAATTCAGTGCAGACGAAAGGAGTTCTGGGAGGTGGAATGCCCAATCTGGTGCCTGAAACCCTGCTGACCTCAGCTTTTAGTGGCTTCCTTCCTTCAGTCCTTGAAGATGCTATTGTGTTATGACCTCCAGATGGATTCGGCCAGCGTCCCCCAAACACCCAGGCTCGTCCTCTCTCTTTTGCTCCCCACATACCACAGGGCAATGAGCCGCCCCAATGCATATCCAAAGCAGTGGGCTCAAGACTGAAACCTCCACACTGTTAGCCGAGATAAACCATTTCCCTTTGCAAGTTAATATCTTAGGTATTTTGTTACAACCAGGGAAAACTGAAAATGGTCCACAAACGCATGTGGCCGCTACAGTGGCTTCTAAGAAAAGATGCCTCTATATTCCATTTGTTCTTCCAGGAGACAGGTAAATATTTATAACCTTAAGGCTAACTTCCATCCAAGAATGCCTAAGACTTCTAAAATATTTTTATGCCACAAGAGGTAGACTTTAAATGTCTGAGAAACACGTTTCTATAGAAGACTTCGGGGGGGCAGTGTTGTTGTTATTGTTAATAATATAGATCATTTATATTTTTTTTCTGGCTGAAAGTCAAAAGAAGAGAAGTCCAAGAACTACAAAAGAGTAGTCAAAGTGATTTATGCTTAATTTCTAAGTGCAACAGGTGTGTTTACACAGAATTTAAAACCAAAGAAAGCATGCTAATACAATCATGTGCAACTTTAAAGTTTAGTAACTGTGGATGAAGACATTATGGAAAAGGTTCTCACCAACCAAAAATATCATCTGGGGAATGACATCCAGTTCGACGCTCTCTGTTTGGATATTACGCCCACATTTCACAGAGCCTGGCTTGGTTTGATTTTCTCCACGTGCTTGATACTGGTCTTCAGTTGCTGCTAAGTGACTTTGCAAATCTCATTCCCCGTCTGGGCCTTGTAATGACCTAGGCATGCATTCATGCTTCTCTGATCTAATCATGTACCTTCGAAGTTACACATGCAGACGTGACTGGGAGAGAGCGTCCACACACTGGTCCCCACTGGAAGGACGGCCACCCCACGCTGCTGCTTCTGACAGAGCTCTGGGAACTGCTTTGACCTTATTTCCAGGCTCAGATCTTATGATCTATCTCGCCTCTGATGGGTTCTGTTGGTGGCACTGAGACTGGTGTGGGTTAACTGGGAGAATGCTGGGTGTGGACTCACACAGGAAAACTCAGTCTGGGCTTCACTTGCCACGTGACTCGGGCAGGTCGCTTATGTTCTCTGAGCCCCCGCCACACTCCCATCCCCAGGTTGTGGCGACTCTCAAAGGTGAGTATGCAAATTCTATCCTGACGAGCGAGGTAGGACCTGAACAAAACGGCTGAGCAGAGGAGCGTGCATAGAGCGTGCATAGAGCGCAGGGAGCACCGCCGCCTGTGCCCAGGGAGAGACCCCACACACAGTCACTCACTGCACTTCTGCAGGCTGACGTCTGCCAAGCAGGGCCCACCCCACATTCCCCAAACCTATCCTAGGCAGTCACTGCCTCATTTTCCACCCACCTTCAAACTTCTTAAATTGATGTAGAACAAACCGATGTCGACCTGTAGGGGTGAGTGGGCCACTGACCGAGGCAGCTGGGTTTTACCTGCACCAGCCCCATCCCACCTGGCACAGATTAAGGACACCTGGAGTGCAGTTGGAGCAAATGAACAAATGCCCAGCACCTCGTTTTGTCAACCCAAAGGGGAAATTTACTAGGAAGGAGACCTAGGGAAAGCCTGGCCAGCCCACACCTGGGAAATAAATTAGCTATTTCTATTCCACGTCTACCCACGGCCCCGTCGAGATCTAGATCTCCTCTCCGCCCAGCAGCTCAGTGGCAGCAGGCTCCCCAGGCACCATGGCCCGGGTCAGGCTCTGCTCCAGCTCCTCCAGCTCCTGGCGCACCTCCTCCATGAAGTCGCCGTCCTCATCCTTAGCCAGGGCCTCCCCAGGCAGCAGGCTCTCGCCGTTGGGGTCACGGCTGCCGTCGAAGGCCCGTCTGCATGTATATACCAGGCTGTGGCTGTGGAAAGATGCAGCTGTGGCTTGGTCAACGTTCTCCCCAGGGAGGCAGAGCCAGGCAGGGGGTGGTTGGGGGTGCTATGTGTGTGGCCTCCGCTGCTGCCTGGGGCCCGGGCCTCGCCCTCACACCACCTACAGCCTCAGCTCAGTTCCTGTCAACATCACATCTTAGAGGAGGTGTCTGACCAAAGGTCAGATGAACTGCGTTGTGTTCCTGTCCGACCGTGGCTCAGCAGCCCAGCGTAGGCTCTGTGGACTCTGGATTTGGGAGTTCAAGGCCACATGGTGCCTTCTCGGCCCCTTGCCCACCGGGGCCTCCAGACAGCCTGGCAGTGGGGCACAGTCACAGTTGAACTCCCACACCTGCTGCACTGTGGGGAGCCCAAGGCCTCTGTGGAGGAGGAAGGGACTCCTGTCTGTCTGTCCAGCCATGCTGGAAAGCTCCAGTAGGACCAGCAGGGGTATGGAGATGCCGGCAGTGCCTGAGCCCTTCCCTGGCAGCCTCTGACGTGCTGGTGCCCTCCGCCTCAGGGGCCCCACTCCTGACCACCCCCCTGCTTCTTGCCAGTGCCTTCCCTTCTTATCCATCTTTCTCTGCCTTTAGCGCTTCTCTCTCTACTCCCTCTCCTCGGTCAACCCCCAGGAAACTGCCACTGCCTCCTGTATGAGACCCAAATCTGAAGCCCGGCTGAACGTCTGACACCATCAGGACCCTCCCCTCTGGATGACCCAAGGCCACCTCCAGGCAAACCAACCCTCAACCTCACCCACAGCTCCCCAGACTCCCACCCTCACCCCCAACGCCTGCCCCTGCTGCCCATAGCCCATCACCTCCCTTCCGCCTGCAGGGAGCAGAGGTGACTCACCCATGGGGCTGGCAGAGGAGGCCGCTGGTGCAGGGGCACCGGTCCAAAGCCCCGTCGGGCTCCACTTCCCAGGTGATGAGGTCTACCACTCCCACAGCAGGGTCACGGCACAGTTCACCCTCCAAGGATAGTGGAGAACACACAGGGAACAGCAGGCCTGGAACCAGCCGAGAATCACCACAGAGGGGCAGCAGAAGGGGCGCACCCCCCCCCAAGTGAAATGAGGCTTGAGGACAGGAATGAGAGGAAAGAGGTATGGTGGCCTGAGCTCAGGAGGGGATTGGGGGAGGCCTGGTGCTGTCGGGGAGATCTGTCTGGAAAAGGAGAGCTGGGTTTGGGGAGCCAAAAAGCCCAGAGAAATTAAGAGTGAAACCCAGGCATTTGAGACTGGGCCACTGCACTGACAGAAGCCTGGGGCCAGGAAGGCACTGTGGGGAAAGCTGGGCTGAAGAGCGGAGGGACAGGAGGGCACGGGAAGTGGGTGGCTGCAGAGAGGGAGATGATAGGTGCCTTGGTGCCTTAGGGCAGCTCTCTCAGGAAGAGTTTCAGGAACACCCCAGCAGTAGGCACTGGGAGGAGCCTGGAGTTTGGGGGCTGGCAGGTGGCTAAGGAGAGCTTTGGGTACAAGCTGTGGGGTGGAGTAGGCATATACAGGCCTCACGGGGTGAGGCAGTGGACTGGGACTGGGAGCAGGGTGGGGCGAGTGGGGCAGGGAGGGTGCTGGCAGCCCCTGGGCTCATGCCAGAATTCAGCCAGGCATCAACAGGGAAAATGAAACACCATGGCCTCCCCACTCCGGGCCAGCTGAGCCTGAACAGGTGTGGATGGCCTGCTGCCTGCCCAGCACACTGAGCGAGGCTTGCGAGGGCCTCTCCTCCACCCAGAGGGGAGCCCACCCACCTTTCTGGAGGGTGCAGCACAGCCCAGGCTGGCAGTCCCTCTGGTTGTCACAGATGGTCCCATTGCCACCTCTGGTGGCCTTTTCGGTGCAGCGACCCCAGACACACAGCTGGTCTCCACAGCACTCGCTGTCCCGGGTACAGAGCTGCAGAGGAAGAAGAGTCACGAGGGTTTGGCCCGCATGTCTCCACGGTGGGGAGGAGACTGTGGTTCTGAAAAGCGGTGGAGTGCTCCAAGAAAGTCAAGGGGCTCGAGAGGAGTGTGGTTTACAGGTCCACCAAACACTGGGGTCCAAACACTGGAAAATGCCAGTTGGCGGAGGTGGGGATCAGTCTGACAATGTCCAAAATTTTGCAAAAGCTAGAGGTATCTCTGGTTCCTCTCATTAGTCCCCTAGTCAGGACAGGAGGGCTCAAGGGCCATCAGTGTGATTCCACTAACCTGGAGGGTCGGCACCCACTAGGAAGGCCCCAGATGGGAAGGCAGTGCTGCCGGGAGCTGCCCCGCATGGGGCAGTGTGGCGATGCCAGGTGGGAGGTACAACTGTTTCTGTAGCTGTCTCTCCCTGGAGGAGATCAAGCCAGGTAACAAGACCCCCTTTACTTTTAAACTTAGTATCCGGGTGTGTTGTCGTAATAAGGCAAAATGACAAGAAGCCTGAGGGCCCCTGACGTTGTCCCCAGTGTCTGCTGTGGGGCTGGAGAAGGAGCCCTTGCCCTGGCTTCCTGCTTCCCAGTGAATTCAGCAAAGCTCCAACCTCTTCCTGCCTCCTCAGTCTGCCTCTTACTGAGCAGACTGGGACAAAGACCTGGACAGGGCTGCAGGCCCAGACGGAAAAGAGGGCTGCCCTTTTCCCTGCCCGGGGCTGTGGATGTGCCCCTTTGGGTCTAGGACAGGATCCCATGTGGAGGGTGGGGCATGGGGCCTCCTCCCCTCCCTTCTCTGCCATCCAGGAGGCAGACACCGTGAGCAGAGATCATGGGGTAGGGCAGAGGTGGCAGCAGCTCCACAGCTGGCTTTTGTGACTTCAGTCTAGGATGACTTCCGGCTCGCTCCTGGAGTCAGCCCCACCCCCAGCACCTTACAGCTTTCCAGCTCAGCTGAGAAGCCTCCCCCATGTCCCCAGAACCCTGGTGTTGCAGCCCTAGAGACCCTGGGCACCCTCACCATCTGCTGGTCCCAACAGGGCTGGCAGGTGTACTGGGAGCTGCTGAACTGGCAGAACCTGGAGGGGCCGCAGTCCTCATCGATGATGCACTCCTGGGGGAGGCAGAAAGAGCAGCGTCAGTGAATGCAGGGCAGCCGCCACACAGCGCCCCGAAGGTGAAGCCCACGCAGGCCCAGGATGCTCTGAAGTGAGACCGCAGCCACTCCTGAGCCTGCCCACCTGGCTGCTCTCAGCATCTGCCCTCAAGCTCCCTGGAGCCTCGGGGATCCCACACCCACACGCGGGTCACACGATCACCGCCTATGTGCAGTCTCCCCCCACACCCAGGGCACGGACTGCAGACTCTCAGGGCTGGTCTTTCACACAGAGCACATGGATTTAATAAGTGCTAATGAGTTCCAGGGTCAGCTGGAAGCTAGGCTTGGCGAGGCCTCCTGCCTGGAGGAGACAGAGGCTGTGCCAATGACCATCCACCCTCAAGGCTGCAGCTGTGTGCTTGGGAGCCCTTCATGGAGGACTGGGGCCTCGACAGAGAGGCTGAAGCAGCTGCCAGCTTCGAGCTGGCCCAGGGGCCTTCTCCCCAGGGCTGCCAGCTCCACTTGGTAGAAAAGACAAGGCATTTATCTGCCTGCCCCTGAGGAGTCAAAGCTCTTCTTAGGCTTAGATCTAGGAACTGGCAGCCTTGGGGCAGGAAAAAGAGGACAGGACAAGAACAAACATTCATGGGTCCCTCTGCATGGATCCCTCCTGAGGCTTGGTATGGTGGGGTCCCAGCAAACCATGTGGAAGTGTGTTGGCAGACAGTGGGGCGTGCCTCCCTCTGTCTTGGGGTGCTCTCTATCCTGAAAGCAGGTTTGGAGCTGTAACTGGAAAAGCCAGGATGGGTGGCCAGGCCTGGACCTAAGGACCCAGGGAGCCGAGGCCACAGTCCAGCGGGTATGGACAGGGCTTCTGGAAGCTAGGACCCCGGGCAGGTGGAGGCTGGCAGTGAGCAGAGGCCCGCCCAAGGGCAGAGGTTCTTCCACTATCATTGGTCTGGGGACCCCAGCCAGCCCTGTGGGGTCTGAGAAGACAGAAGCCTGGCTCACGGCAGCTGCGGGCGGCAGAACGGCAGGCCTGGGCCTGTAGCACACCTCAGAGTGTGGGCTGCCGTACTCTGCTTACCCAGCCAAGCCCATCAGTGCCCCTGCAAGCCACCTCCACACAGCCCCTTCCAAGAGAGCAGAGGGGGAGGACGACTCTGGGAGGGAGAAGGATGAGGAGGCTGAATCCTTTCTCGGAAGCCCAGAGCATTTTGAGGCTCCGGGTGGGACACAACATTGACTAGGAGAAGGTCCCTGATCTCAAGGAATTCATAATTCAACTGGGAATAGAAAAGGTAAAAAGGCAACCTGGTAGAAAAGGAGACAAAGGGTACAAATAATTATAAGGACGTTTTGCCTCTTCAAGACATAAGAAAAAGATGTTCAACTGCACCAGTAGTCAAGAAAATGCAGCTTAACAGAGCCGAATGTCAGAATGGAAAAATATAGAAGGCTGATCTTCACAGTTGTGCAGAATCATGCCGCCTCCCTGAAACTTCCGCATCTATCTGGGAGCCTGTACTGTCTGTCACCTCAGAGGAGAAAGGTAGAGTTAGCCTGATACGCAGCTGACCTGCAGTCAGGGAGATTGTCCTGGGTTGTCCAGTGTGCCTTGCGTAATCACCAGGGCTTTAACACTTGAAGGGGAGATAGAAGAGTCAGGCTTGGCATGGCTCTGTGTGAGATGCCACAGACTCCACTGGCTATCGCTGGGTCTGCAGATAGGAGGAAAGGAGGTCCAAGGGGCCCATTCTCCCCCGAGCCTCCCAAGTGGAACACAGCCCTGTTCACACTGTGACGTTAGCTGTGAGACCTGACTTAAGACTTCTGACTTCTAGAAACAGGATGACAAATCTTAAGCCAGCAGGGTTGTAGCAACTTGTTACCACACCAATAGGAAATTAACATCTAGTCTGAGGAAATGGGCATTGCCAGGTGCCTTTGGGGGTAATTTAGTATTTTTCAAAATCTCTTTATTATTCTGTACAGGGTCTTGCTATGTAGCTTGGACTCACAGTGACGCTCCTGTCTCAGCCTCCCCAATGCTGGGATTACAGGTGTGCACCACCATGCTCAGCTTCAGGGGCCGGCATGACATCCAATACCCAGGACTGAACCAGGATCCTTGTGCTTGCCAGGAAGGTACTTAGACTGCCAGCTATTTCCTTAGGGACTAATTTAAACTGGACTAATTTTTTTTTTGGCTTCAGATTATGCTCTGGTATTATTTATAATCCAAACATTAACAGAAATACCCAATTAGAGGCAACTTATTATTACACTGACATTGTGTGGAGAAATGTCTCCTTAAAAAGAATGATGTGGTTCTTTGCACAGTGATTTCCATAATAACCAGGAAGTAAAGCAAACCTAGGCCAGTACTAGAATGCCATTTTTAAAAGCTGAATAGTACCACACATGTGACCATGTCCGGACACACTGTGGACAGGTGGCCAGTGGATGAAACCGCTGCCATTGTGGCAAACCGGCTGCCCAGTGTTGATCACTGACAATGACTAGGAACGAAGTGAAGAACATTCCATTAATGGGCTTCCTGTTCCTCAGAAGTCCTTGTAGATGTGGTATTTTCACTACACTCCTCATCCAGATCTCTCTCTCTCTCTCTCTCTCTCTCTCTCTCTCTCTCTCTCTCTCT